TAGATTTAAATTATTCGGGTACAGTAGATGAAATTATTACACGGGTTTGTGATTTTATGAATGATCTCAATATCGACAAATACGACCAGGGAGATACAGACGAAGAGGAGAATGAAGTTGATGAAACAGTAACGACGCGAAAGGACACAGGACAAAGAAATGCTGTAGGAGGTAATATAATACCCAGAGGAGTTAGAGATGAAGAAATTCTTGAAAATTTAGAAAGAAATAGTACGGAATCAAGAAGAAATGTAGGTGACTTCTTTCCTATTAGTTTTAGAGACGTTGAAGACACCATAAAATATTTTGATGGTAAAGAGGAGTACCCTATAGAAAAGTGGATAGAAGATTTTGAAGAAACAGCTGATTTGACGGGATGGAACGACCTTCAAAAATTAATCTTCGCGAAAAAATCATTACGTGGCATGGCTAAATTGTTCATTCAATCGGAAAAGGGAATAAGATCATGGACTATGCTGAAAAGGGCGTTAATAAAGGAGTTTGAGATTAAGACGAGTAGTGCTCAGGTGCACAAGCTGTTAATGCAAAAGAAAAAAGGGCGAGAAGAGTCTGTCCAGGAGTATGTGTTAGCAATGCGAGAAATCGGAAGTAGAGCAAACTTGGAGGCGGAAGTTATAATACAGTATATTATAGATGGTATTCCAGACGACGCAGCGAACAAAATTATTTTGTACGGAACTACAAACTTCGCGGAGTTCAAAGAGAAAATCAAGCTGTACAATCAGATTAAAACAGCAGGAGGATACGCTAGTCAAGGAGCAAAGCCAAAAAGGGAATGGAAATATGAAGAGTATCGTAATAAAAAAACTGAGAAGCCTAAAATAGAAAATAATAGAAGTGTCGTCTGCTACAACTGCGGAAAGAACGGACACAAATCTCGGGAGTGTCCAGAGAAGGGTAAGGGGATAAAATGCTTTAACTGCAACGACTTTGGACATTTGTCAGCCAGATGTCCTAAACGCGCAAGTAAGTCGGATTCCGTAAATGTTATTGAATCAATTCCTAAAAATAGTGTGAGACTCGTTATTGATGGGGTTGAGACAATCGCACTATTTGACACGGGAAGTGACATAAGCGCATTGCGGGAAGATGTTTATAATCAATATTTTTCGAAAATATCGTTAGACCAAGAAAGAGTACCTCTTAAGGGTCTAGGCAATAATACGGTACGAACTATAGGCTCATTCACTCACGAGGGTATAATAAATAATGAAAATTGTCTTCTTAAATTATATATTGTCCCAACGCAGGCTTCAAATTTCAGGGCGATAATTGGTAGTGATATATTGACCCAGCTAGACGTAATTATAAATACGGACGGAGTCACGGTATTGAAAAAAGAAACTAGCAATTTTTTAATGGCGATCTCTTTAGATAACGATCGGGAAGATTTGGAGTTAGATCTCACACACATAGAGGAGGAGGAGAAACGAAAAACTATTAGAAAATTAGTACTAGGCTATCAGCCTAAAAAAATCAGGGACGTAAACATCGAGATGAACATTGTCCTAAAAAACGAGGAACCTATTTACCAAAGACCAAGAAGATTGGCACCACCGGAAAAGAAAATAGTTCGGGAGCAAGTCGAAGAATGGTTGGAACAGGGCATTATCCGCCCAAGTTCATCGGATTTTTCCAGTCCTATCGTATTGGTGAAAAAAAGGGATGGACGGACTCGAATTTGTTGCGACTATAGAAAACTAAACCGAAATGTTATAAAAGATCGTTTCCCATTACCCATAATAGAAGACGTCCTCGATTGTTTACAGGGAGCGAAGATATTCAGCACCATAGATTTAAAGAATGGATTTTTCCATGTCCCTGTGGAAAAAACAGTATTAAATATACATCCTTCGTAACCCCAGATGGACAATACGAATTTCTCAAATGTCCGTTCGGATTATGTAATAGTCCAGCCGTTTTCCAGAGATATATTGCCCATATTCTCCGACCTCTGACGACAAAGAATATCGTAATATTTTATATGGACGATATTATAATCCCAAGCAGTAATGAAGAGGAAGGACTCGAAAGACTCCAAATAGTGCTTGAGTTAGCAAAAGATTATGGATTAGAAATTAAGATTAAGAAGTGTCAGTTTCTAAAGAAAAGAGTGAATTTTTTAGGATTCATAGTAGAAGACGGAAGCATACAACCCTCGGAGGAAAAAAGTTCAGCTATCAGGAGATATCCTGAACCAAAAACGTTGAAACAAATCCAGTCGTTCCTGGGATTAACAGGATACTTTAGAAAATTCATATCTTCCTACGCATTGATAGCTAAGCCATTAAGTGACCTATTAAGGAAGGATCAGCCATTTATTTTTGACGAACCGCAGAAAGTTTCGTTCGGCAGGTTAAAGGAATTACTCTGTAGCGAACCGGTGTTACACATTTATCAACCAGGACTTGATTTAGAACTACATACCGACGCTAGCCGATATGGTTACGGTGCTTGTCTATTACAACGAGCAAACACGGACCACCGTTTACATCCGATTTTTTATATGAGCAAGAAGACCACACCAGCCGAGGAAAAGTATTCCAGCTACGAGTTAGAAGTTCTTGCGATTATTCAAGCTATCAAGAAGTTTAGAATTTACCTGCTGGGCGCTAAATTCAAGATTGTTACGGATTGCCTTGCATTTCAAAAGACGATGGATAAAAGGGATTTAACTACTAGAGTGGCTAGATGGGCGTTACTTTTGGAAGAATATTCATACCAAATAGAGCATCGAAAAGGATGTCGAATGCCACACGTGGATGCCCTTAGTAGAAACCCAACGACGATGTTAATGCAAGAAACTCTTGTGGATGATGCGTTAGTTAAAAGGATCCGAAACGCGCAAAGAGGTGATGGACACTTAAACATAATCACTAAAATTCTAGAATTAGATCAAAACTACGACGATTATTTTTTAAAAAACGATATCTTGTACAGATACAAAGAGGGAAAGGAATTATTGGCGATACCAGAGGGAATGGCGCTTGAAGTCATTAAACAATGTCACGAATTAGGACATTTCGGAATAGCGAAAACGGAAGAAGTAGTAAAAAGAGAATTATTAAAGTATTATTTGGCGTAAAAATGCAAAATAAAGAAGATTTAGCTATAATAAATCTATTAGAGAAAGAAGCAGTAGAGGAATTTAACGAAGCCAGAGAGAAGATCCGAGAAGGTGCCAGGACACAAATTAGTAAGGTACAAAGAGAGAACACCAGAACTTATAACCTTAGAAGGAAAAAAGCAAGGAAGTATTGCGCTGGAGACTTGGTGGCCATCAAACGTACACAATTGAGTCCCGGCCTTAAAATTGACAAAAAGTTTTTGGGGCCTTACGAAATAGTGAACGCTAAAGCTAATGAGCGTTATGATGTCACTAAAGTGGGGACATTCGATGGTCCAATTAAAACCTCTACATGCGCAGAGTTCATTAAGCCGTGGATTGATAACCACTCGGAATCCGAGGCGGATTCTGATCAGGACGGCCGAGTGTAGGAATTAGTTACTTTAGTCTTAAGTTAGAACTTATCGTTACGCCACTGTTCGAGCGCTGGGAAACGGGTGTTCAGGCAAATGGTAGGGACTCGACGACGAGACAGCGACGTGATAAGACGTAGCGGAGAGCGGTTACAAAAGTACGGTATGTGCATGTGCGGCATACAAAGTGACGAAATAAACGACAGTATGCGATATAACATACATTAACGACGGTATGTGATATAACATACATTGACGACGGTATGTGCGAAATCAGAAATCATACACAACGACGCTATCGAGTAATAAACGACGTTAATAGTACGACGATAGACACGAGACAGTTGCGAATAAGAGTGATATTGCTATTGTGCACGAACATTATTACCTAGACGAACAGTTGTAGTGACAATAATAAATACTTTTAGTAAGCAATATATATATATATATATATATATATATATATATATATATATATATATATATATATATATACATGGGACCAAATGTGAAAACCGTCCTTTTTTTATTATAATAATTATAATATATATTGGAAGTGAATTGAAAAAATATTTTTCAAACATAAATAAACAAAGTTAGGTTAGAACTGACGTGTAAGGTTGTCCGATATTGATTACTCGATTACCGCAATAATGCCGAAATAAACAACAAAAAAAGTTGTATTTGGTGACTTTTCTAGTAACTTTCTTGGGTGTGAATCAGTCTTTTTGGTTTGCTCGTCCTGGTTAAAAAACAGGGTATAGCTATGAATCTGTCAAAATATGCCAGAGCTGAGCGAAAATACCATACCATAGTAGCTAAGTACAAAATGTTATCAATATCAATTTTACTATCAACCTACTGTTCTTATTTATGTACCTAGTAGATTGTAAATTTTTAAATGTAATAAACGCGCTAATTTGTGCAAGACGTGTATAATGAGAATGGACAAATAAGGCAATTTTTATTAATTAATTTTAAAATTAGAGTAGTAAAATATACGTTCATTAAAACTTAATACAGAACAAAATGCAAAATATAAGTAACATTTTGAAATCTATTTACATAGCAAAATCATTGGTTATTGATTTGACCTTGGCCCTTGGCAATATCACTAATACATTGCCAACTACCTTCTGAGTTTTGATCCCACAAGGTGATTTTATTATCTCCACCAGATACAGCTAAAATATTTCCATTTAAAGACCAACTAAGATTCCAAACTACATCATCAAATGTATGTAAGACTGTTGAATTCCAGTTAATACAATCATTACTAGTCCAGATAACAACTCTCCTGTCTTGAGAACAGCTGGCAATGGTATATCTGTGGAGACCTACCGATGGAGCCCAAGCTACATCTCTTACCCAATCAGAGTGTACTTCAAGTTTGGACTCTTCAATCCACCTGCAAAATAGAATGATATTAAATAGAAAAAAGGTATAATATACCAAAATATGTAAATTGAATTAAAATATCCAATGGATCCAATCTTTGGAGTCCATATTATGATGTAAATATAAAAATGTTAGAAAAAGTTTATACTAAATTCTTAAATTTAAAATTTAAAACAGGTCTAATTCGGAAGATACATCTCTTGAATAAAGCAGATATACTTTTTTATTTAAACTCATATGCAATGAAGAAGAAAGATGCTTTATTGTCACTGAAAATTGTACAATTTTATGGACAAAGCTTATAAAAGTTAAACAAAGTACATAATAATAATAATAATAATATACGTCAAATAACTGTCAAAGTGAAAATTTGAATTTAAAAGTTCTCCGATAAAAATTATAGATTTTAATAATTTTAAACAGTATTGATTTAAAAATTTAAGTGCAAAAAACATAATAAACGAGCTGGATTTCTAATTAGTATTGTGATTTACTTTTTATGTATAATTAATATTTTAGTTTTGACCGTATAGTTAAATAATCTAAGTGTTTTACGGTTGAAAACTTTTATTTTGTTCCCCCAATGGGGGACAGTAGTGCAGGGACGTCTTCGTTGACGCAAATGTTAATAGATAATAGTGAAGAACATTTAAACAAAACTGATAACCAAAGCATGACCATAAAAAATGTCAACAGTGTAGGAGCTATCATGGAACCGGAAAAGAAGACCTTCAATTTACGCTCAGATAAGTACAATATTAAAAAAATTTGGGTCTATATTTTGAAAAAGTAAATGCTGAAAATTTAGGTAGATTACATCCGATGACTGTTGGTCACATATTATTCAAAAAATTAAAACTAACAAATATTTTAGAAATTAAAAGCATAGGTAGAAATCGTATCAAGGTTTTATTAAAGTCTTTATTGGAAGCCAATAATTTAGTAAATAATCAAGCTCTAAAATTGGAAAATCTTAAGGCGTACATGCCTAATCATTTGTTGGAAGTCAAGGGTTTAGTACGGGACGTGGATACTCAGTATGACGTAGATTATTTAATAAATACTATAGAGTCATCTTCTAAAGTTATTAATATATATAGAACTAAACGTAAAGTTATTAATGATAATAAAGTTGAATACATAGATAAAAAGACAATAATTATCACATTTGAAGGCAACGTTCTGCCGAATTATGTTTCTTTTAATAAGGTATTTTGTCCTGTTGCACAGTATATTGGAAAAGTCGTTCAATGTTATAAATGTCTTAGATTTGGACATGTATCCAAACAGTGTAAAAGTACACAAGAACGGTGTATTCAATGTAGTGAAATTAAAGAAAAAGATCATAATTGTAATATAGAAAATGTATTTTGTATTCATTGTAAAAGTAGGAAACATCTGTCAATATCCAATAAATGCCCCCAATATGAAAAACAGAAAAAAATTAAAAATGTAATGGCTGAACATAACGTATCATTTGTAGAAGCACGTAATTACTGTGAAAAGTCCTTTTCAAATTTTGTGAGTAACAATTCCTTTGAATGCTTAGCAGAATATGAAAGGGATTTTTCTAGTTTGCCTACAACTAGCAAAAATATTCCGATATCTAAACCAGTTTCACACAAGCCAAATTCTGTTTTAACTCACACTGATTTAAACATTACGAAATCTCAAATAAATAAAAAAAGAAAAGTTAATTCACCAGTTGCACAGTCGTCTACTGAGAAACCAATGTTTCCTTTTGTTTTTGGACCTGAGAAACCTTTACCTGTTAATCGAATTGTACCAAATTATGAAAACATTGAAATTAAAAGAAATGTAACTGAAAGTCTTTTAACTTTTATATATCAGCTGTTACAAAGTATACAAACTTTTGATGATATACGGTCTATAGATAGACAATTAATAGTCAATAATATTGAACAGGTATTGGAGGGTACTTTGATTAATACTAAATAAAAAATGTCTTGTCAACCTAGTTAAAAATAATACAGTGGAATGCTCGTTCTGCTGTCTCAAATAAAAATAGCATGATGCATTATTTAGTAACTAACAAAATAGACATAGCTCTTATTAGTGAAACATGGTTTAAAAAAAATGTAATATATGATTTTAATGGGTATAATCTTGTTCGTAATGATAGGTTGGATGGTTATGGTGGAGTTGCTATACTTATAAATAAATCAATTTGTTTTACTGAACTAAAAATTAACAATAATAATTACAATAATGAAATACAGTTATGTGCTATAAAAATTAAATGTGGGAATAATCAAATTAGTTCTATGTCACTTTATAGAGCCCCGAAAATAAGATGCACAATAAATGATTGGATAAATATATTTTCCCAGTTACAAAAACCAGTTATCATAGGAGGTGATTTTAATGCCCATCATACTATTTGGGGTTCAAGTACAAATGATGGAATCGGAGTACAGCTGATTAAAATGGCAGATGATCTTGAATTTACAGTTTTAAATAATGGACAACCAACAATACTAACTCAACCTAACCAGAATTACTCAATGATTGATGTTACTTTCTGCAGTCCCGATCTTGTTAGTAAGACTGAATGGTCTATCTCTTCAGACACTCTAGGATCAAATCATTTTGTTATACAGGTGGATATTTGCATTAAAGCCGAAACAGAAAAAATATTACCGAAAAATAAATGGAACATCAAAAAAGCTAATTGGCCTTTATATACTTCTTTAGTACAAAACTTTTTGAATCAAAATACTGAAATTCCAAAAAACACATCAAGCAAATAGGAACATTTAATGAATTGTATAAATTATGCTGCTCACATTGCAATACCACCATATAAACCTTTTAGGTCAAAAACTCGAAACCCTCCACCGTGGTGGAATTCTGAATGTGACACGATTATTAAAAACCGGCAATTTTCACTCATGAATTATAAAAAAGAACGTAATTTTGAGAACTATATAAAATGCCAATCAAACATGGCAAGTACAAAAAAACAACTAAAAAGTATTGCGAAACAAAGCTGGGTCAATTGGGTTTCTTCTCTCCATAAATCAATACCATCATCAGTACTTTGGACGCAAGCTAGAAAGTTATACAGAAAATCACCTACAAAAAAAAAATCTTTTGAAGATATTTGGATAGAAGGGTTTTTTGACATAATTGCTCCTCCAACAGTGATATCTATGCCTAATAAACCTAGTAAAATAGTGACCGACAAAAGCCATTTTTTACTTCAACCGATTAAACAGACGGAACTAAGCTATGTTTTAAATAATCGTCCTAGCACAAGTCCCGGTTATGACCACATTAAGTATCCTATGCTTGATATGCTTCCTCCAACCGCTAAAGATCTCTTATTGGAAACATTTAAGGAAGTTCTCTCTGCAGGTACGGATGAATTTAAAGAAGTTATTGTCATCCCAATTTTAAAGCCAATGAAGGATCCGAATCTCTCAAAATCATACAGACCAATTTCACTTATGTCTTCTGTTCTCAAAGTATTAGAAAGGATACTAAAAGTAAGACTCGAATGGTGGATAAGTGAGAAAAAACTACTTCCAAATTCTCAGTTCGGTTATAGACAAGGATGTGGTACTTTGGATGCACTCGCTACCGTAGTAACTCACATTCAAAATGCATATTCTCGCAATACGTATGTACCACTTTTATGTTTGGATATTGAAGGTGCATATGACAGTGTTAATTTAGATATACTAAAAGAAAAAATGATTCATCAATTCCAAATACCTTCCTTGCTAACCCAAAATATTGTCAATTTCTACTTAAACAGGAAAATATATATTAGGAAGGAAAACAATCAACTCATTGGACCACGTTTTAATAGTTCGGGTCTTCCACAGGGCTCAGTTTTAAGTCCACTTCTATTTAATCTTTACACAGCCGATTTTCATATTAGTATCGAAAAAATTTCATTTAATACAATACAATATGCAGATGACTTCTGTATCTATACGGAATCTAAAAGTTACAATAACGGCTTTAAACACATTAGAAAGTGTTCATGAACATTGCTGTAGGTGGTTTAAAAAAAATGGTTTTGAGTTGGCAAACAACAAGTCTAACATTTGTATATTCACTAGACATAACTTGCCTCAAGGAGAACAAATAAAATTAAATGATAATTATTTTCCCCTCTGTAAGTCAATAAAATATTTGGGTATGATTTTGGATACAAAACTGACCTGGAAACTGCATGTTGATTTTATGCTTGATAGATGTAATAAAGCACTAAACTTTCTAAAATCAATTTCAAAAACTTGGTGGGGAGCAGATGTTGAAACGTGTCTTCTATTTTATCGTTCTTATATCAGGTCCATTATAGAATATGGCTCTGTACTTTACGGCTCCGCTAGTAACAATCGTTTACGTCGTATAGATGTTTTTATAAACACAGTTTTGCGGTGTTGCATTGGTGCTATGAGATCTACCCCTATTGAACCACTTTATGTTGAGACAATGGAACCGCCCAGTAAATTTAGAAGAGAATATCTCAGTCAAAAATTTCTTCTTAAAGTTTGTTGCTACAACACTTGTTTATATAAAGATATTAGTATTTTAAATTATTTCGACTTAACAAATAAATATTGGACTCGCAAGAATTCTCCACCGCTATGCGAAGCATTTCGAAATACTGCAAATAAAGATACTGAACTTACAGTTGCAAACAAAGTAGTACATTTTAAAGATTTCTTTGAGTTACTGGATCAAGTACATATAATACAACCTATTTATCATAAGAACCCTTTAATAAGTCGTATTGTTTTAAACAACTATCTGACAAATTGGCCAAAATCTGTTTGTATTTATACAGACGCATCTAAAAGTTCAAAGGGTACTGGTTGTGCCTTTTATATTCCAGATAAATTTATAGGAAAAATGTTTAAGCTGCCCACAAATTTCTCTATTTTTAGTGCTGAGGCTGTGGCCATATATGAGGCTTTAAAGTATTTTAAATTGGCATCGTATAGTTCAGCAGTAATTTTATTTGATTCATTATCT